TGGATGGATGGATGGGTGGATGGATGGATGGATGGATGGGTGGATGGATGGATGGATGGATGGGTGGGTGGGTGGATGGATGGATGGATGGATGAATGGGTGGATGGATGGATGGGTGGATGGATGGGTGGATGGATGGGTGGATGGATGGATGGGTGGATGGATGGGTGGATGGATGGATGAATGGGTGGATGGATGGATGGATGGGTGGATGGGTGGGTGGGTGGATGGGTGGGTGGGTGGAAGGACACCTTCATGCCTTACCAGCTTCCGCTGTGCACGGTGCCACTGCTCCTTGATCTCCTTCCTTCTCTTCTCGTGCTCCAGGCGCCTCACAGTCAGCGGCTGCAGGAGCAAATGGTGCAGCTGGCAAAGCACAGCCCTGCACAGAGCCCTGGCAGCAGCTGCTCCGTGCACTGCATGCTCACCTGCAGGAAGGTCTGGTGCTGCAGCGTGGTGACAGTCTGCAGGACCGACGTGCCGTATTCCATGTCCTGCTCCAGTGCCAGCAGGTAGATGGACAGGAAGGGCATGCTGGTCTGAGGAACGACAAAAGCAGCACTCTGAGGGTCAGCACGAGGCTGATGCTGTCAGCTCCAGGACAGCTGGGGAGCTCCAGGCTGGCCGTACCTCCTGCGTGAAGGTTTGCTTGCAGCTGTTTGCCATCTTCTGGAGCCCTTTGGCGAACTCCAGTTCTGGAAGAGAAAGGTTGGAAGTGAAGAAAGTTGAAACAAAAGGGTTTCTGTGCTCGTTGGGTTCCTTCTTAAATGCGAGTCAAGAACTTCAGGGACGTCCCAGCAGCTCTGGCTCCCTTGGCCCCATGCTGTGCTCTCAGGATCATCCCCCCATCCCAGAGCCACCCCACAGTGCACAGACCCTCCCCCCCTCCCCACATCTCACCCAGCGCTGTCCTTTTCTCCAGGTACCCGATGAGGTCTTTCATGTACTTGGAGATGTTCTTGGCATACTGCAGGGCAGCATCCACACCTCCCTCACAGCGCTGCAGCATCACATCCACCTCCTCTGCTGCTGGACGAACTGTGATGGGGGGACAGAGGAGAAGGGGAATGATCCCAAACCGTGCTGCTGCTGATTGCTGGGCTGGTCCTAGGACCCCCAGAGTAGCCAGGAAGACCCCAATGCCCACAGCAGCTGCTCTGCCATCTCCTCTCAGCTGTGTCCCCAGGGGCAGCTCAGCCCAGGATGATGTCCAGGTGGTGATGGCAGAGCCCATTTCTCTTTGACCACCCCCAAGTCCCACAGCAATGGCTGCTTGCTCACCTGCGTCATAGCTCTCCATGCCCGAGGGCACACCATCCCCTCCAGGCCCAGGGATCCCCCCATAGAGGCTCTCCATAGACTTTGGGAAATCAGGAAAGGAAGGAATGCGTCAGACAAACAGGAGTGCTCAGAGGAGACCCCTGTGCTCAGGTTTAGGGCTGAGACCCCAGCAGACCCCCAGCGGGCGGCACACACCTGATTCTGGTCGCTGGGGGGGATGGAGAGGATGGTGCTGCTGTCCACCTCCCCCATGAGGAACTCAGAGACGCTGTGACAAGAGGAACACAGTCAGCCAGAGGAGGAGCAGCGGTGACAAAGCAGCGCCACCTCCCAGCACCCCATCCGCATCCAGGGGCGGCTGTGCAAAACCCTTACGTGCTGCTGAAGGACACCGCGATGGTTTCCACAGCCTTCTCAAACTCCCTCTTGTCTGTCTCATTGTTGGATTCGTAATGGAATCCTGCGGGTGGGGGAGAAACAGGAGCCCCATCACCCCTGTGCACCCTGCACCCCACAGCACGGACCATCTCACGCACCTCCCAGCACCGGGGTCACGGCCATGAGGAGGCCAGGACGACAGAGGAACACGATTCTGCCATGCTGGCAGCTGGGTGAGGACCCGGATCTCCATCATCACTCAGCTGCCTCCATCCCAAGGCCCCCATGTGGGGCCGGCCCCATGGCAGAGCACTGCCAGCCCCGAGGCTTCCTGTCCCCGTGTGGTTACAGCTCCAGGAAGCGGTGACGCAGTGTTGTGCTGTGCCTGCGGTTACCACAGCCCTCCCTCCTTCCCCCTTCGCCCTCCCCACCACAGCTGTAACTGCTCTGCCCCGGGTGGGACCGGAGCCCTCAGAGCCCACTCACAAACACGGGGATGTGGGACCAGAGCAGGGGGCTGGAATAGGGCTGAGGCTTGGATAGCAGCGCCTTCATTCCGTGCCCCATCCATTGGCAGCCCTGCTCCAGGCAGCCCCAAAATGGGCTCCCCAGCAACGGGGTGGGAATGGGACGGAGCTCCCCGCCCTGGGCTCACCCTTCACTTTGGATATGAGGGTCCCTGCTGCAGTCAGCGTCTCCAAGGTGTTGAGCAGTGGGTATTTGTTGATCACTTGGCGCAGCACCCGCAGCGTTTCACCCAGACACTCGTGGGCCTGCGGCCGCTGGGATTCCTTGGGGTCTGCAGGAGAAAAGGCAGCCCTGTGTACACCCCATCCCTGGTACTGTGCTCACCCCTGCCATGGTGCAGGCACACCTTCGAGGCATTTTTTCCTCAGTAGTAAATTTTTCCTTTGAAAGCGGTATGGGAATTTCCTTCCCATTTCCTCCCCTCCTCCCTGCTGGCCACACGATCCTGCCCCATCCATTGGCTTGGTTGTGTCCCGTGGGGTCCAGCACCACGCCACAGCCCCAACCCAGTGCCCAGGGCCAGGGGAAGCAGTGTGTGAGCTCAGGGCAGGGTGCTGGCAGTGCTCAGCATCCCATAGGGATGCACTGAGGACAGCAGCCTGGGTCCCAGCTCCAGGTGGGGAAGGACTTTCCTCTGCTCCCTCTCTCATTTCCCACACCATGTTCCCCACGTCTGGGCACGGCTGTTTTCCACCGTGAGTGAAGATGCGTCAACATGTTTGCTGAAAACAGGGCACCATGTGATCCCAGCAGCCCCACCTCACCGTGGGGAGCAACCACAGTGGCTGCTTTCTGCAACCCCGGAGACCACAGCCTCACAGCCCTGCAGCCCCACAGCCCTGCAGCCCCGCTCCTGCTTCGAGCATCATCCCCATCCCAAAGGGAGGGCCAGGGGCCGGGGCTGTGCTGGTGCCCCATGGGGTCCAGGGCCACTGCCAGGCAGCTGGCACTGCTGTGCTGTAAACAGGAAAGCAGGCGGATGAAAATAGCTCGCAGGCAGGAAGCAGTGTTATCCTGGCTCTGAGCTCCCAGCAGCCACCCACCACCCTCTGCCCCTGGGCCCCCGGCTCTGCACAGCCCCCCCAGGGCAGGGACCCCCTCCCCCCCCATTGGACCAAGCGTGGGGTTCTTCAGCACCCTCTGGAGCCTTCATCCCTGGAGCCTTACAGCCCTGTGCCGTGGGGCGATGCCGTGGGGGTTCTGTGGTCCCCCAGTCCCACTCCCCCTCCGTGGCCACCCGGGGGGCACCCAGCCCAGCACTCACCATCACGCAGCACCACGTCCCGCAGGTTCTCCAGGGCATCTGCGAACCGCGCCACGTCGGTCAGGAGCTGGGAGATGTCCTCCACATCGATGAAAGGACCCTCCCCTCCCTCCATGGGGCTGTGGGAGGTGGGGGTCTTGTGGCCCTTAGGGACGGCCCGGGGGTTGGCAGCAGTGAGAGGGAAGCCGGCGGCGCTGGCATGGCGGCTGAGGCTGGTGGGGCGCTTCAGGGTGCCCACAGCACTGGGACTGCTGCTGAGTTTGGAGCTGGTGGGAGGCAGCTCCGTGGGGCTGGGAGCTTCCAGGCAGTCCTTGCGGGACAGATCCTGCAGGAGCACAGCACAGCGTGAGTGCCGCCCTGGGGATGGCGTTGCCCGAGGATGGTGGGCTCCATTGACAGCAGGATCTGGCCCTGCACATCCCTTCCTCTTTTTCTGGCTGTCCAAGTCCAGCACATCCTTAGCACTGCGGGGTGGGGGACGCCTCCAGGGCCACCAATAGCAAAGAGTACAGAATTGTTGCAGACACATAGAGCCCTGATTTCTAGGGGTGAAATCGCCCCAAGGGAGAGGCTGATAGCACCTCCCAAGACCCCGTGCCCCAAAGCCATCACCGATGGGGTTGGGTCCTGCACCCCTCCATCCCAACACAGCCTCAACTGTGACACGAGTGTGCTGGGAACAGCAGCAGGTTTGGCACCGATGGGGCAAAAACACCGCGGCATCTTCTCCAATCCTGCCCTGGAACACGAGGCCACCCAGACGGCAGCACCTCGAGCAGAGCTGATGAGGGCACTGCAGACCCCGCGGGCTGCTCCCTCCCACCATCCCCGTACCGTCAGCCGCACGGAGGGCGAGCAGGGCAGCGAATCCAGGGAGCGCTTTGGAGAGCTGGCCGTCCCCGTCCTGCGGCGCCCGGCAGCGTAGGGGCTGTAGCTGTTCCGCCCCGCCGCCCTGCCGAGCATCCCAGCGCCTGCAGGCTGCGCCCACCCATAGACCCCTCAGCAGGGGAGAACCGTGAGGAAGGGATGGGGATGGGGATGGGTGACCCTGCGAGGAGCTGCGGGCGGGCTGAAGCCGGCGGCCCCGTCCCGTGGGTTGGGGAGCAGCGCAGGCGCGGGGCGGGCGGAGGAACCCCGTCTGCCGGCCTCCCCACAGAGGAGAAGCGCTTCCTCTTGCACTCCGGGTCACCAATGAGTAAATAAACCCATAGCAGAGCCGTGGTGTGGGGCTGGCCAAGCCTCACTTCCCCTGCTCCTGCCCCTGAGCAGTCGGGGTCTCTCGCTCCCTCCACCGCGCTCCCCATGTTCTGCTGCAGCCCCAGCTCTGCCCTCTCTCCTCCCAGCCGGGCCCTTTGGCTGTTGCTGCATCCCCTTCATCTGGGGCAAAGTCCCCCCGGTCCCGTCGGCGGAGTCCTTCCTCATTTCCTTCCTCCTCGCATCCCTCCAGCCACCCCATCCCTCCCTCCCCACCTCACTTACAGGCAAGGTCTGCGGGATGGGGCTCCCAGCGCGGCTCTTCTTGGAGATGGAGGGGGTCTTCATCAACTCACGTTTCTTCCGGGAGAACATGGCTATAGGGCGGCCCTGGGGGGGCCCCGGGCTGCCAGCAGCTCTCCGCTACCCCTCCGTCAGCATTCGCTGGGGCCAACTGTCAGCGCAGCGCATGTGACACCGCCTTATTTCCTCATTGGGTTCGCAGGCAAAGTTGAAACAGGAAAAGCTAAATGTGCGGCGAGGGCACGAGGCCGGGAGGAAGGGGTCTCCGGCCGCCCCCCCCCGGTGTCGTGTGGCACTCAGCGTGCGGGTGCCGGGGATTCCTCGTGGAGTTTTGCTGCCCAGGGAGGACGGATTCCCCGGCACTGGGGCTGTGGGGCCGTCAGGCCCTTCAGTTAACTGATGGATGCGCAGTGCGGGGTTGCGGGGCTCCAGCGCTAGGTTCAGCCCAGCCCGGCTCTGCTCTGCTCTGCCCTCATTTCGGGTCCCCGGCCACACCTGCGCCCCCCCCTCCCTTCCCCCCCAGGACCCCACCCACAGCACAACGCAGCCGTGCAGCTCTCGGTCACCCTCCGCAAAGCGAGCAGAGGGGCGGTGCGGGGCGGGGAGATGAGGGATGGGGATGCGGGGAGGCGGTCGGACCAGGGGGTCGGGCAGAGAGGGCGGGGAGGGGGCGTGCGGGTGGGTGTGCGCGCGGGAGCGCGTGGCCGCGCGTGGCCCGGTTGTGCTCATCACTGCGCGCACGTGTTCGGGGCTTGCACACGCGTGTGCGCGTCCGTAGAGCTCCACACCCGTGGGGGTGTCCCGGTGTCCCACGCGTGCCCGGGGCGGCTCCGTCTCCAACCTCCGTCCCCAGAGCTCCCGGAGCCCCCCGCGTGTCCGTGTCGGGATGCGCGGGTCCGGAGTCACTCCTGTCCTTATTTGGGCATTTCGAGCCCGTCCAATCAGCGCGGGGGGGCCGGGCCCGACCCCCCCACCCCCCCTCCCGCCGGGTCCCGCCCGGTCTCTCCCGGTCCCGCCGTCGATCCCCGCTCCGCCGCCGCCGTCGCGCCATGAGCAGCTCCCAGTTCAACAAGGGCCCCTCCTACGGCCTCTCTGCGGAGGTTAAGAACCGGGTGAGCCGCGCCGGGGGCGGGGGGGTGCCGGGACCAACGGGGGTTTGCGAGCAGAGAAGTCCCGGGGGTGTTCCGAGGGTCCCGATGCCCTCCGGAGGGTGCGGAGTCGGGTCCCGGGGCGCGGCGTGTGCCGGAGCCGCGCTCCGATCGTGGGGCGCTCTGACTCTGTCCCGCGGGGCCCCGAGGGTCTGGGAGGGATCCCGGGCACCGGCAGCCCCCACTTTCGCCCCGGTCCCCCCCGGTTCCCTGCGGGGGGAGGGGGGGGGTGAGTGGGGCTACGGCTCCGGCTCCGTGCAGCTCTGCTCCCGAGGTTTCCCTGCTCTCTGTTTTCCCATCATTCTGTGTCCCTCGGGGAGGGACGATGTCCCTCTTGGTGGACCCCAGGGCTCAGACTGGGGCCTGATGTCAGACTGGAAGGGGACAGTGGAACCCGATTTCTCTGCTGGGGCTGTTTGCACTCCAAGATGATGCGGGGTGCTGCCCGGAGGGCTGCCCTTCCCACCATCAGAAAAGGGCTGGGTCCCCTGGCTGGGTCCACAGCCCAGGCTGTGCCCTATCCCTGCTCTGGGAATGGAGCTCAGCCGTGGGGGGATGCAGCAGCCACCTCCCCTTCCTTGTGCACCCGTGCAGCACAGGGATGGGATCAACGGCTGGATGTCCAACCCAGGACACAGGCAGGATGCGGGATGCGCACACAGCTCGAGCTGGGCTCTCCCTCCCGGCCTCACAGGATTTGGGTTTCGTCACTGCACGAGGACGGGCCTCTGCTTGTACCCAGTGGGTGGACACGTGCAGGGGCCTCGCCGCTGCCTGCTCCCAGGTGCTTTAGCTTGGTTCAGCAAGAGCTGAGCCAGTCTGACGGCCCCGCTGTGCAGGCTGCAGGCTGACATCACTGCTGAGAACCCGTCGGACCTGCAGCCCTGTCCTGTGATGGGGTCTGTTCACGGGCTGCTCCTGCTGCAGGACGGCCCTCTGCTCCTCTGCTGCGTCCCCCAGGCGGGGTGAGGGAGGGGGGGGGAAGAGGAATCAGTGCTGTGTGTAGGTCAGCTGTGCGTGGGGGGATCCCAACAGCACCCACGTGACGGCACAAGTGTGACCGTGGTGGCCGCTCTGTCCTTGCATCCTAGTCAGATCCAGCTTCCTCTTTGAGACTGGGCTGTGGGGCCGTTGCCCTTAGGAATAGCTCTCCCATGGGGCAGCTCTGCATCCATCCCAGGGTGTTCCTCTGAACCCTCTGAGGTTCTGTGAGGTGAGCATCCCCCCAGCTGTTTTCTGTGCAAGAAAGCGCATTGCCAGGGCTACTGAGAGGGAAACTGAGGCACGGAGACTGCAGAGAGCTGTGCTTCCCTCGGTTCTGTCTGTGCAAAGCTCCATAGAGGTGTCTGATGGAACCTGGGGACCGGCTTGGTGACCCTGCAGCACAGGCACAGGGCAGGAGCAGGCACCCCTCCCACAGGGCACAGCTGAGCCCCGTGGAGTCCTTGGGCTTTTGGCACAGGGTGGGCTGTGCTGCGTCTTTGCAGCGATGGCTCTCGGGGCTCTCAGCCTCCTCTTGTGACAGCTTTCCCTGCTCCAACCCAGGGTGAGGATCCGCTGTCCCCGCGGTCGGGCCGAGGCGATGCCGTTCCCGGGCGGCTGCTCTGCATCTGGGAGGAGGCGGCCGCATTCCTGGCATAGCCGCGGTGGCCGAGGAATCCGCGGCGGCGTGAAGGGACCGGCGGGAGGGATGAGCGCGGCTGGGGTCGGTGCTGGGTCCCGTGGGCGGAGGTGAGAAGCAGCCGTGCCAGCAGCTCGTCCTCTTCCTCTTTGACAGTTTGCAGAGTCTCGGGTCACCGCGTGCGAGACTGCGGGCTGTGCTGGATGTGGCCGTGCTGATGACAGCACTGAGCCGTGCGGGGCTGGGACCGCGCCTGTGCGCAGAGCAGAGCGCACAGGAGCAGAGCGGCAGCCGGCGGTGCAGAGAAGCTCGGTGGCTTTGTTCTCCACCATCACCCTCCATCCTCGGGCACACCGTGCCCACCCCGGAGGGCCCTGCTGCAGCTCTTGCTCTCCTTCCTCCCCTCGGCAGTCTCTGTACCGCTGAATCTGGGTTTCCTGTGCACCAGGAAATTGCAACTGATCGCATATCCCGGGGCTGTCCAAACCACGCCTCACACTGTGGTGTGCAGTGGGACCGGCCTTGTGCTGGGGAGCGGTCCCCACGGGGTTTGGGGTGCACACAAGGCCGTGTCTGACCACCCCACACCCTCCCCCAGCTCGCCCAGAAATACGACCCACAGAAGGAGGCAGAGCTGCGGACATGGATCGAAAGCGTCACCGGGCGGCAGATCGGGGCCGACTTCCAGAAGGGGCTGAAGGATGGGGTCATCCTCTGCGAGTGAGTCCCACGGCACCCATGGGAGGTGCCAACACGGCCCCCAGGCACTGCGTGGTTTGGGAGACCCAGCTGTGGGGAGCGCTGGGGGCAATTAGAGGGAAGGTGGCTCTGGGATCTCCGGTGTTGTGGGGCTGCTTCATTCCCAGCTGGGAGGAGTGGGCCAGAGACCCCCAGGTGATGTCAGCATTCCCCTGGAGAGGGGCGACCCTCGTACCCACAAGCTCACCACCATCACCTCCCCCCAGGCTGATGAACAAACTGCAGCCCAACTCGGTGAGGAAGATCAACCGCTCGGCACTGAACTGGCACCAGGTGGGTGCAAGCAGCCCCCAAGCTTTCCATGCCCCCACTGTAACCTGGCTATCCTGTGCCCCCTCCTCACAACCTGAGTGCTCTGTGCCTCCCCTCAGCTCGAGAACCTCTCCAACTTCATCAAGGCCATGGCCAGCTACGGCATGAACCCTGTGGACCTCTTTGAAGCCAACGACCTCTTTGAGAGTGGGAACCTGACACAGGTGCAGGTGTCGCTGCTGGCGCTGGCGGGCATGGTGAGAGCATGGGGAGGGATGGGGGCAGCTCCGTGGGATGGATGAGCACCGGTCTGTGCCCAGCAGCTCCCCAGGTCTGAGATTCCTCATTCCTCACCGCCTTCCCTCAGGCCAAGACCAAGGGGCTGCAGAGTGGTGTGGACATTGGTGTGAAATACTCCGAGCGGCAGCAACGGAACTTCGATGAGGCCAAGATGAAAGCTGGGCAGTGCGTGATCGGGCTGCAGGTGGGAGCTGCCAACCCCATTGCCCCACATCACAGCTGGGGGCTTCCTCTGTGGGAGGATGGGGATGATGGGGGGGGATGGGGCGGTGCCTGCTTCTCACCACTCTCTGTTGCCCAGATGGGCACCAATAAGTGTGCCAGCCAGTCCGGCATGACGGCCTACGGCACCAGGAGGCACCTCTACGACCCCAAGAACCAAATCCTGCCACCCATGGACCACTCCACCATCAGCCTGCAGATGGGCACCAACAAATGTGCCAGCCAGGTGAGCCAGGGAGGGGGGGGACAAGATGATGGCATTGTGGGGAGCACCGTGCTGAGCCCCACTCGCTCCCTCCCTCCCTTCCTTCCAGGTGGGCATGACAGCACCCGGCACCCGACGGCACATCTATGATGCCAAGATGGGACTGGAGAAGTGTGACAACTCCTCCATGTCGCTGCAGATGGGATCCAACCAGGGTGCCAACCAGAGCGGGCAGGTCTTCGGCCTGGGTCGCCAGATCTATGACCCCAAATACTGCCCACAAGGCATCCCAGGGGATGCAGCCAACGCCGCCGATGAGCCGGGCACCGACCTCCCCGGGTACCACTATTACCAGCAGGAGGAGAGCTGCTGAGCAGGGCTGTCCCCATGCAGTCCCCCTCGCAGCCACATTCTGGCCTCAGTTCATCATTCCCTCTTTCTATTTTTCTTTTTTTTTTTTTTTAAATAATGTTAAAAGGAATCTCTTTTTTTCTGGGAAGGGACTGGCCAAGATGCAGCCCTGCAGCTTTGCCCACTCCTTGTCCTGTGCTGGAAGGGTCCGGGGCTGTGGGCATTCCATGCTCTCTCCTATGATTCCCTAAAAGCAAAGCTGGATGTGCTGTTTTTTGGAGAACTCTTGGGACCAAAGTTTCAGATTCCATCTCAGCCGGGTGCCCCTGCACTGCAGGGTGATGCTGTGTGAGGTGGGGGCAGCCACGGGCCGGGGGCTTCTTCCAACCACGTGGGGGTTTTTAATACAGATGTTCTTATATTGAAAGCTTTTTTTTTAAAAAAAAAAAAAAGAAAAAAGGAAAAAAAAAGAAAAGAAAAACAAAAGGAATCGACCTTTTCTTTAAGAAAAAAACCAAACAACTTGAGCAGGAAGCGCTCTCTGCTGCACTCTCCTGGGCATTGCTCCAGGGCTGTGTGGGGCCCTGGGACCCGAGCCCCGCGTATCCCCTG